TGGTTGCCCAGCGAGAGAGAGTGCCGCGCGGAGCCGAGCGCGAGCGAAGCAAACCTCAAACCTTCCTGGGGGGCTCGAGTGATCCTTCTGCGAGCGCGCGCGAGTAGCTGGAGCGAGCGAGCGAGCCACTATTGCGGCAATTATAATATATATCAGTTGGCCAATTAATTCGCGGTTATAGTGAGAGGCGGGGTTTTTTCTCGCCTGCGCTGGTTTTGAACTTCCTGACCTTGAGCAAATCCGCCCGCCTCGGGCCTCCCAGAGAGCAGATTACAGGCCGGAAGCCCCACCAGCGCGCCTGGAAATCCATTAGAGAGCGCGAGAGAGATAAATTAACCTTTTGAATTTGTCACATATGTGATTTTCATTTATTTCTTCAACAAATGCTAATGAATCTGCCAAAAGCGGGCGAGAGTGTGGATATCGTAGGATTACAGGCGTGAGCCACCGCGCCCGGCCGGAACCAGAGTTTTAAAATTAGGATCTGAAGATGCTCAGAGAGGTGACATCACTTGCCCCAGTTCACACTATTGGCACAATAGGATTGGAATCCAGGGCTGAAACACAGGAGTGACAGATTCCAGAGTCTGAGCTTAGCCATTGAGCTCCTCTGTTTCCAGAGGGATGTTGAGGCATCAGGAATGGATTTTGACACATTCCAGTCGGCAGTTTCCAGATCACCTTGGGAATATGCATAGAGTCAGATAAGGGGACAAAGACATGTGGTCAAAACACACACACACACACAAAAACCAAAATAAAAACCCTACAGTTCAAGACAGTATGTACTATGAAGGAGATATGGATCAAATCTTTGAGAGACAGAGCGAGGATACTTCTGGCTTGCAAGACAGGGAGGCAAGGGGCATTCCTGTTGGCCCTTAAAAGGTGAGCAGAATTTAGATTATTTCCATGAAAGAGCATCCCAGGGAAAAGGACCTGCAGATGCAAAGGTGCAGAGGTGAGACAGCATGAAATGTGTGTGTGTAACTTCAAGCCACCCAGTTCGGCTCCTGAGTGGGTGTATTAATCAGCAAGTTATCAATTCCAAATAATAGAACACTGAGCTAAATGAGGCTTAAACAATAAGGTTGGCCCAGCAGCTGAATGATGTCATCAAGTCCCCGATGCTATCCCTTTCTGCTCTTCATGCCCATGTCAGCACTGTCTGTCCACGGACAGATGGCTGCTCCTCTCAGCTCTTCCTCCTGCAAAGAGAGCCACAGGTAGAAATGGGAGGTCGCCATTTCTCTTTCCATATCTCTCTCCCATTCTTTATCAGGACATAAAACGTTTCCCTGATATGCCCCAAACAGAATCATACCCTCTTTTAATTGTCAGCACTGGGAAATGGGACTACCATAACTGGTTTACCTTCCCTGAGGACATGTCCACCTGCCCCCAACCAGGGACCTATTAGGAAGGAGGAGAGGCAGCACTGTAGGTGTGGAGTGCCACAGTGGGTGCCTGGTGGTGAGCAGAGAGAGAGCTGGAAGGTTTAGGTGAGGCCCCGCCATGGGGCAGGAGCTGGAGCACTGGGACTGCCGGCCCGGACAGGTAGGGTGTGTGTGGATGGGGTGAGGCTTATAGAAAGCTGGGAAATCAGGTGTCTGGGTGGGAGAGGGTGGGTATTGCAGGAGCCCAGGTTTGAGACAAGGCTCTGATTAGGATGGCCATAGTGAGGGAGAAGTGAAAAAGACATTTGGCAGGTCAGGCTGATGGAATTTCGTGTGTTTTAAACTACAAGCTGCCACAAAGATGTGAAATTAATATCAATTTAATGGCTCCAACTAACCCAGCTTTAAAAAAAAACAAAAAACCTTTCCTCCTTAAAATCTTTTATGTCCTTAGTTATTTTAACTTGGTTTTATCCTGTTGCCTTTTATATCTCTCTGAAAATTGCTTCTCGATCTTTCTGGGAATCTGAACCCTCTACCCACTGTAATGCTGGTGTTCCCAAGGAGTTCCGTCCTTGCCTCTCTGTGCTTTTCTCACACGACCCCTCCCTGGCTCATCCTATCTTCTCTCATGGGTAAAGGACCATCTATCCACACTGCCTCCACCTATGCCCCAGCTCTGCCCTCTTGCCTAGCTTCAGACTTCCCTATCTATCTACTGGATATCTCCACTAATGTCTTGCAGGTTTAAAAACAGATCCGTTTTTATTTTTTATTTTTAAAGAAGGAAATAGAAACTACCAGGGTGTATCACATGTAAAAACGCAGCATGTTGTTGTTGTTTTTTAATGAAGCTTTTATTTCACACATATATTTATATGTCCTGGGTCACAGTCAAAAAAGTTTTATTTATTTTTTATTTTATTTTTTGAGACAGAGTCTCGCTCTGTTGTCCAGGCTAGAATGCAGTGGCATCATCATAGCTCACTGCCATCTCAAACTCTTGTGCTTAAGCGATCGTCCTGCCTCAGCCTCCCAAGTAGCTGGGACTACTGGTATACTTCACCACTCCTGGCTAATTTTTTTTATTTTTTGTAGTGACAGGGTCTTGCTATGTTGCCCAGGCTGGTCTCGAACTCCTGGCTTCAAGCTATCCTTCTACCTCAGCCTCCAAAAGTGCTGGGATTATAAGTATGAGCCATCATCCTTGGCCTAAAAAAGCTTTAAAAATATGGAAATTAGATGACAGGCTAGACATAATGATGAAAGGAGTAGGAGGAGCCAGGGACATCTGCGTCTGGATGACAAAAATGGGGAAGCGAGAAGAAGCTCATTTCTGGAAGAAGATGACAACTTTTTCATTTTGAATGCACTGATTCTGGTTTACAGTAAATTGTGCACAATGGTTGTCTCTTTCCCTACCACTTTCAGCCTCTGGTCAAAGTATAATCCTGAATGAATGCTCTCAGGAATGAGGGTGTTTCCCCTACAGCTCATTAATTATTAGTTCTCAAGAGGAAGTGATTCTTTAATGGGGAAACCAACATTTTTTGAACCCTTATTTTGTGCTGGGTTCTCTGCATTCAGTTTCTTGTTCATCCTCCAAGCAGCCCTGTTAGGCGAGTACCATTATTTCTGTTTTACAAATGAGGAAGCTGAGGTTCAGAGAGAATGAGAAGCTGCCTATGGTCATGCAGCTAGTAAGCGATGAACTGTGTCTTGCCAGCAAACCACACCATCTCCGAGAGCATCATCAGGATGCGCTATGGCCTCATGTGTTAGTTTCCTATGGCTGTCGTAACAAATTACTACAAGTTAGGGGGCTTAAAACAACAAAAAGTTACTCTCACAGTTCAGGAGGCTAGAAGTCCCAAATCATGGTGTCTGTCATCAGGGTTGGTTCCTTCAAAGGGCTCTGAGGGGAATCTGGTCCATGCCTCTCTCCTAGCTCTGGTGACTGCTGGCAGCCCTTGGCCTTTGTTGGCTTGTGGAATCATCACTCCAATCTCTGCCTCCATCTTCACAATGCATTCACACATCCATCTTCTCATAAGAACACCAGTCATATTGGATGAACCCATGCCACAGTCCAGTGTGACTTCATTTTAACTCAATACACCTACAATGACCCAATGACCTTATTTCCAACTAACATCACATCCTGAGGTACTGGGGGTTAGGACTTCAACATATCTTTTCTGAGGGATGCAACGCAGCCATAACACCTCATTAAATTAAATAAGCCCTGGAATTAAGAGGAATTTATTTCCTCCTGACTTGGAGGGTTTTGCAGAAAAAGTTGATCTTCATTTCTTGCTAGATTCCTAAATTAACCAGACACTGCCAAGATTACTAGAATTCCTATGAATAATTTTTCTTAACGATTTCCCACAACTCCACAGCCTTCTAGACAACATCGGCACGAACAATCAATCACTGCTACTTCATAAAAAACATAAACCACCCATCATCTTTCTCTCCCTCTTGAATTCCCTGTTTTTCACACAACTGGCTAACATCTCTCTGTATTCCAAAAAGAATCCTTTTCTTTCTGCTCTCCTCACATCTCCCAGGTTCAGTTCCTTGCGGTTGTCATTGTCATGGGAGGATACACTACCTTCTAGACTCCTTTCCTTGCTTCCCGGCTCTTCACCTCCAATCCAGCCCGTATACGGTATAGGGCCAATTTTCCAGAAACACACCTGAGTCAAGGCTGACTCCACAAATTAAAAATCTCAGGGACTTCAGGATACCTGGTGGTTATTCAACTGCTCCACTCTACATTCAAGGACCAACCAAATTTGACACCAGACTATCTCCCTCCATCCCTTCCCAATGGAATACTACTCCCAGTGCCAAAGCCATCTCCTCCTCCCTCACCCTTCCCTAACCCCTTGCCTACCCTATTTCCCTGCAGAGCTCCTGAAACACCACGGATCTCTCGCTGTCATTCCTTTCTACCTTGTGACATGGTTACTTGTACTGTTTACACTCCCTCGCCAGACACTGCTCCTCGTGCCCCAGGATGGGGCTAATAGGAGCTCCTCAATCTGTGTGTCTAGAATAAACCCAAGGATGGCCGGTAGCTCACACTGGTAGTCCTAGCACTCTGGGAGGCTGAGGCAGGAGGATAGCTTGAGCTCAGCAGTTCAAGATCAGCCTGAGCAAGAGCAAGACCTTGCCTCTCAACTAACTAGCGTGTTTCCTCAAAAATAAGACAGGGTCTTATATTTATTTTTCCTCAAGAAGACACCCTTGGGCTTATTATCAGAGGATGTATTAATTTTTTTAAGTACGGTACAATAATCTACATTTATTCAAATATAGTTGACTCATCTTCTTCAGGAACATCATCATAACTCTCCAAACGCAGAATTCCAGCCTGAATTTCTTGCGACTCTATTTTCTTTAGGGCCATTGGCCTCAATCTCTCACGTGGAGCAATAGAGCTCTCATAGGGCAGATGAGAAGGGCTGCTCGTCTTCTTAACCGCTCTGCTGCGAGGAAATGCATGGGTTGTGCAGGTAGGCTGCGTAGCCACGCCCATCACTAGGTCTTATTTTCCGGGTAGGGCTTATATTGCGCAAATGCTTAGAAATCCTGCTAGGGTTTATTTTAAAGGTAGGTCTTATTTTCGGGGAAACACCGTAACTAAACACATAATTAGAATAAACTCAAGGAGTCTCCACGAAACAAGGAGCAACGAACTAGCCGAGGTGTTTCCTTCCTAGAGATTCGGCCAAGCCACTATCAGAGTCCGGTGCTGGCGAGAACGTTTCCCTGGTACAGTGGAGTGAGTCTGCGGGACAGCCACGGGCTGGCGACCAGCACAAGGCCTCCGCCGGCGCCCCCGCAAGCCCGCAGCCAAGCCGCTACCAACCCACTGCTCAGCCCGCCACGCTTAGGCCAGACACTCCAACGCCGCTTGGACCGGAACCTTTTCGTGGAGTCCAGGGCGGGCGCTTTTGGGTGAAGCACGCAGAAACCGGAAGTTAATGGAGGAGGATGGGCCGTGGGAGCCTACAGGTTTAACTTGGAAGATGAGCGTCCCTGGTCTCATGGCGGGAGGTAGGGTGCCTGGAATACTGGGTTAATTTCCCAGCTGTCATTAGCCCCAGATCCTGAAGTGTTTCCTTCTTCATGTCCCGTGTCCAAGTACTTCTCTTGGAGCCTCCGCTGAGCTGACGGGCGGTTCTGGTCCCCGAGCCTCGGAACGTTTGTCCTTCCCTGGCCTAGAGGTCTGGAGGCGGGTCCTCCCCGGGCTGGGCGGCAGGCGGAGGATTCAGATTTTAAAAGCTACTTGCCGCCTTCTGGCTGCATTATTTTCCTGTGGCCAGGGATGTTAGAGTGACTTTCCGTTGGTTTGACGAAATAACGAAAATGGTGTTTCTTCCGCTTTCAAAAACATACTAATGGTAGATATCTTGAAAAGTGCAGCCGGGTGCGGTGGCTCACGCCTGTAATTCTGGCACTCTGGGAACCCGAGGTGGCAGCATCGCTTGAGATCGGGAGTTGGAGACAGCATGAACAAAAAAGAGCAAGACCCCTGTCTCTACTAAAAATGGAAAAATTAGCCAGGCGTGGTGGCGCGCAACTGTAGTCGCAGCTACTCAAGAGGCTGATACAGGAGGATCGCTTGAGCCCAGGAGTTTGAGGTTACAGTGAGCTAGGATCACGCCACTGCACTCCAGCCCAGGTGACAGAGCAAGACCCTTTCTCAAAAAAGTAAATAAATGAGTAGATAGATAAATGCATAAAATTTAAAAACATTTTTTAAAAGTGCACATAAAATAAAACTGCTCTTAATTAAACCCACCACTTAGTTAAAACATTCCTTATAAACGTATGAAATTTGATTTTATTTGGTTTCACCAGATGAAATACTAGTGAAGATAAATCTTAACAGGAAATACCGGTTACAAGAAGATCCCAATAAGGTTAAGAATATCAAAAACTGGTCGGGTGTGGTGGCTCAGGTCTGTAATCCTAGCACTCTGGGAGGCCGAGGTGGGCGGATTGCTTGAGGTGGGGAGTTCTAAACCAGCCTGAGGGAGACCCGTCTCTACTAAAAATAGAAAGAAATTAATTGACCAACTAAAAAATATATATACAAAAAATTAGCCAGGCATGGTGGCGCATGCCTGTAGTCCCAGCTGCTCGGGAGGCTGAGGCAGAAGGATTGCTTGAGCCCAGGAGATTGAGGTTGCTGTGAGCTAGGCTGACACCACAGCACTCACTCTAGCCTAGGCAACAAAGTGAGACTCTGTCTCAAAAAAAAAAAAAAGAATATCAAAACCGTTAAGCAGTTGAAATGATTTCAACTATGTGCTTCTTGGGTTTAAAATACAGTTTCCCAGGTAGTAAAACTTAGGACCGATTCATAAAGATCACCGGACATCTCTCATGACTTAACAACAAAAGCCCTATTTTAAAAATAATATATAGGCTGGGCACCTTGGCTCATGCCTGTAATCCTAGGACTCTGGGAGGCCCTGACAGGAAAAGATCCTTCAGGCCAGGAGTTCCAGACCAGCGTGGGAAATCTCTACCATAACATAACAAAACAAAACAAAACAACTATAGATATGTATAACTATGTATTTACAGTTATATATATAATGTATATATTATATGTATAGTTATGGTCAAGCCTGCAACTAACGCTAAAAGGAAGTAGGACACTCCAACTTACATTTTAAAAGAATTTTTTTTAAGAGACAGTGTCTCGCTTTGTCACCCAGGCCAAAGTGCAGCTGCGGGTTCGTACTCACTGCAGCCTTTAACTCCTGGGTTCAAGTGATCCTCCTGCCTCAGCTCCCCAGTAGCTGGGACTACAGACATGTACCACCACGCCTGGCTAATTTTTTAACTTTTTGTAGATAGGAGGTCTCACTCTGTCACCCAGGCTGGAGTGCAGTGATGCCATCATAGCTCACGGCAACCTCAAACTCCTGGGCTCAAGTAATCCTCCCACTTCAGTCTCCCTAAGTGCTGGGATTATAGGTATGTACCACTGTGCCTGACTCAACTTACATTTTGCTAAATTTTCCTTTCAGGGAGATGGAGATGCTTTCCAGTTCCTTTGGGGTCATTCCTGTTCCAGGCTCTACGTAGTTCCTGCTGTCGGAAAAAATCCACTGCACCTAAGAACATTATTCCCAGTGTTGCTTTTTGTGATGAAAATGCAAAGGAGTCTCAAAATGCACTTGACAAGCTCTTTTCTTCAGAACAGCAGGCTTCCATCTTACACGTGTTGAATACAGCATCTAATAAAGAACTTGAAGCTTTCAAATTGCTTCGTGGAAGAAGGTCTACCAATATTGTAGAGCACAGAGAAAAGTTTGGGCCATTTCAGAATTTGGAGAGTTTAATGAATGTGCCCCTGTTCCAGTATAAAACTACAGTTCAAGTTTGTAACTCCATACTTTGTCCAGAGACTAGAGGGAAAAAAAAGTTACAGGAAAACCGGTTCCTGGGAAAGTTCATCAAACCAGACATACGAAGAGAAAGACTTAAGGTATATTCCTTTTCTTAGTGTCTATTATACTGTCTAATATTTGAGACCCTACTCTGTAAAGCACTCTTCTGGGCATTGGGTTGGGAGTTAATGAGGTTCTTCAGGATTAGCTGGTAGGTCTAAATATATATCTATAAATAGATAACCTATCATACAAAATTAATGAGATGTGTATAATAAGTTGGTAGTTGAGAGGAGAAAAAACTGTGGGCTATGACTGTTGGGGAAGGTTACTGGAAAAACTCTATTTGGATCATAAAGGAGAGAGAAAATTAAGCTGGCTGGAAGAAGAGGGCATTCTAGGTAGGAAGTTGATGTTGAGAAATAGGTCTTTGCAAGGTTTATTTAAGAGGAATCTTGCAGAGATACCAAGGTGTGTCTAAGGATTATGTTGGCAGTAATGAGAAATTAAGGTGCAAAGATGGGTTATGGCCAAAGAATGACTTTAGAACATTGTACCAGTCTTAACAGTAGGATTTAAAACTATTTTCTGTTCCCTCCTCTACTTTAAAAAAATCATTCTAAAAGCAATTCTTTTTCAGTGTTATCTTAAAAAATAAATATTACAGTTACTTGACACATCAGTCAAAGATTAAACTCTGGAGGAATTTATGTCTCATGTAACATTGCCTGATAAGATAGTCTCTTATCCCATAACAATAATAACATCATTTTTTTCCTGGACCAGTGGTTCCCTGTGTTTTGGGGAATATGGATATATATATTTTTTTGAGACAGAGTCTCACTTTGTTGCCCAGGCTAGAGTGAGTGCCGTGGCATCAGCCTAGCTCACAGCAACCTCAATCTCCTGGGCTCAAGCAATCCTGCTGCCTCAGCCTCCTGAGTAGCTGGGACTACAGGCATGTGCCACCATGCCCGGCTAATTTTTTTTTTTTTGTATATATATTTTTACTTGGTCAAATAATTTCTTTCTATTTTTAGTAGAGATGGGGTCTCCCTCAGGCTGGTTTCGAACTCCTGACCTCGAGCAGTCCTCCCACCTTGGCCTCCCAGAGTGCTAGGATTACAGGTGTGAGCCACCACACCCGGCCCAATATGGATATTTTTTAACACATTGACTGCCACACTAGAAAAAAAACATTTTTTCCTTGGTGTCACAGTGTTTTATTATGAAAATAGGATAAAAAATTCCGAAACAAAATGATCCTTTCTAATTTAATGAAAAATTTATTATTTTTTATCATTTTTTGTGCATGAGTTATATGCAACTTGAAAAATAGTTCTCCTGGCTCCCAAGGTGAAGAGACATGTGAGTTACATATGCTTTATGAGGCCCTGGGCCCTGGGAGGAATTAAATACACCTCACATGGCAGTTAATGTGTTAAACACCTGATGAAGACTATGGAGGCTGCACCGCAGTGCAGTGGCTTGGGTGGGCAGCCAGTGGTGACTCCAGCAGGGCCTGGCTGCCAACCCCTCCGGCTATGGGCCCCTTACAGAACTCCCAGACTGGTTGTATGCGGATGGTCGCCCTGCTCCCCCACTGAAAGGTCAGCTTCGGAGAAAAACTGAAAGGGAGAAGTTTGCAAGACGAGTTGTACAGGCATGGCAGCTCAGGCAGTAGGAGAAGTTGCAGGAAGAAGAAAGGAAGCATAAAAATGCTCTTAAACCCAAAGGGGCTTCACTGCAGAGCCCACTTACAAGTCAATAAAAAGCAAAAATCTTGCTGACTTAAAAAAAAAGATATCTATAGCACATATGCACAGAATACTACATGTACTTTTAGAGGACTGGCATATTCCAGTAAGTCCATCCATGGACTCCAGATGGAACTGCTGCGGTGGTTGATCTGGAACATATTTCAACCAGATTTTTCAAGGAGGCTTTTCATCCAAATTCATGGCTAAAACTACTGTTTATACTCAGATTATAGTGGAGTTGCAACTTATTTAGGGGCCTAGGTTCTGAAGTTGGTTTGCATAGAGAAAGTCATGCAGTAAAATCCTTTAAAAAACATCTATTGCCCAGGAAATACTGTGTGCAGCCTGGTTCAGTGATGCTTATGCACACTCAAGCTTGAGAGTCGTTGAGCTAAAGACTTGGCGTGGTGGCTCAAGCCTGTAATCCTAGCAGTCTGGGAGGCTGAGGCAGGAGGATTGCTCGAGCTCAGGAGTTCGAGACCCGCCTGAGCAAGAGCGAGACCCCGTCTCTACTAAAAATGTAAATAAATTAATTGGCAACTAAAAATATATTTTAAAAAACACTAGCTGGGCATGGTGGCACATGCCTGTAGTCCCAGTTACTCAGGAGCCTGAGGCAGTAGGATCACTTGAGCCCAAGAGTTTGAGGTTGCTGTGAGCTAGGCTGATGCCACGGCAACAGAGTGAGACTCTGTCTCAAGAAAAAAGAAAAAAAAAAAAGAAAAGTGTTAAAAAGAGGTATTTTGTAGATGTCTGTGCATCCCAAGTTTGTTGCCTTCAAGTATTTATCCAGTTCTTAGCAGTGAAAGGGAGATGGGTATAGAATTATAAATTGTGCTTATCTGCCTCTGTATCTGTAGAACATACTAGTAGTTTATCAGTATAACCACATGAGGCATGGAGGAATGAGGTAACAGCATTACACTGTATCCCCGCCCAGGCTTGGCACAGAGCTAAGTCCATATATCCAATTTTGTGTTATACATTTCCCCTTAGCAGTCCTATAGTTAACCCAAACATAATAACATTTAAAAAACAAATCATTCCCCGCCCCCACCTTCCTGAGTTGATGTGCCTATCTCCATCTTGAACGATGCCACCTAAGTCACTGGAGTAAAGCTGGAGTTATCCTATGCTGCTTCTTCAACCTATATATCACTTCAACTCCCACTATCGCCAATCTCTTTTCCTTCTTGCTGTCATTGTTGTTGATTCTTAATATTTTGTCATGTTACACAATAGGTATCCAACACAAATTCCTACCTTTAGTCTAGTCCCCTTCAGTCCATCTTCTACACAGCTGTGATTTTTTGAAACATAAATCTTATGCTGATCCTTAAAATTATGTGCCTACAGGTGGCGCCCTGTAGCTCTCTGGATAAAACAAGTTAAGTTAAATAACTTTACAGAAATCTATACACATTTCTGCCCTTTTCCCACTCAGTCTCTATTCCACTGGCAGAGTATGAGATGTCAAACAGTTCATCTTTGCAGACAACTGGGCGAAATAACTTCCTGTTTACTCTCCTAGTCATTCTCCTAGTCCTCCAAAAGCCTTCCTTGACTGCTGCTTCTCTCTATGGTAACTGTTTTATGGTGCAATTTCTTATAACGTACAGTTATGTTCCTTGCTTCCCAGTATCTAGCACAGACCATGGCTACACTTGAATATTTACTTTAGGCTAGGTGCTGAAAATAAATTAAAGGTTCTTTGTCTATAACCTGACCACTGCTGGTTACCTTTTAATAATTACTCCTGCATTTTTTAACAATTTTCAGTTGATAAACTAAATAAATTTGTATTCCATAAGCAAGCTAGGCATTTAGAGTTTGTAGATTAGGTTTTGTATGTTAAAATGTTTACACCTTGGGCTTTCTGCAGACTAAATAAATAAATAAAATGTTTACACTTGGTTGGGCTCAGTGGCTCACACCTATAATCCTAGCACTTTGGCAGGCTGAGGTGGGAGAATTGCTTGCGGTCAAGAGTTTTAGACCAGCCTGAGCAACATATCGAGACCCCCACCTCTACAAAGAATAAAAAAAATTAGCCAGGTGTGGTGGTGCATGCCTATGGTTCCCAGCTCCTCGGGAGACTGAGGCAGGAAGTACACTTGAACCCGGGAGTTTGAGGTTGGAGTGAGCTAGGATGATGTCACTGCACTCTAGTCTGGATGACAGAGTAAGATCCTGTCTCAAAAAAAAAAAAAATTGGGCCAGGCGCAGTGGCTCACGCCTGTAATCCTAGCACCTGGGAGGCTGAGGGGGGCGGATTGCTCGAGGTCAGGAGTTCGAAACCAGCTGAGCAAGAGCGAAACCCCATCTCTACTATAAATAGAAAGAAATTAATTGGCCAACTAATATATACAGGAAAAATCAGCCGGGCATGGTGGCGCATGTCTGTAGTCCCAGCTACTCAGGAGGCTGAGGCAGGAGGATTGCTTGAGCCCAGGAGTTTGAGGTTGCTGTGAGCTAGGCTGATGCCACGGCACTCATTCTAGCCTAGGCAACAAAGTGAGACTCTGTCTAAAAAAAAAAAAAAAAAAAGAAAATTGTGTTTATACTTGTAATTAAACCAGCCTTTTCTTTTAGGCAGTTAATAGTATCGTGTCTATTGTTATTGGTACTCGAAGAATTGCCTGGGCTCACCTTGATCGTAAATTGGCAGTGTTGGACTGGCAGCAAAGTAACCGTTGGAGATTAATGGACAGAACATACTTATCATCTGTCTATTTAGAAGAGGTAAGGCAGTTACACCTCTAAATTCCTACCTGCTAGAGCTCCTTGTATACTTTAATTTTCTAGTCCCAAAAGAAATGTATAATAAAATAGTAAGAATGGATTTTCTTATTGGTGAGTACTTATTACTCACGCATTCCTATTGTTTTTCATCACTTTTGATTTTTAAAAATTGAATCTTTCTTCAGTGAGTTCAAGAAATGCCTTATGGACCAGGCATGGTGGCTCACGCCTGTAATCCTAGCACTCTGGGAGGCTGAGGTGGGCAGATTGCTAGAGGTCAGGAGTTCGAGACCAGTGTGAGCAAGAGTGAGACCCCATCTCTACTAAAAATAGAAAGAAATTAATTGGCTAACTAAACATATATAGAAAAAATTAGCCGGGCATGGTGGCACATGCCTGTAGTCCCAGCTACTTGGGAGGCTGAGGCAGTAGGATCACCTGAGCCCAGGAGTTTGAGGTTGCTGAGTTAGGCTGATGCCACAACACTGTAGCCTGGGCAACAGAGTGAGACTCTGTCTAAAAAAAAAAAAAAAAAAAATGCCTTATGTATCAAAGGCAGATACTGACAAAATCAATGATAAAGTATATCATTCTAAATGTTATAGGACATCTGTATATTTATAAAGCTTATTTTTTAAAATGTTCTCACATTGTCTCATTTCAGCCTTCAAAACCTTGTGAAATGGGCAGAAAGTATTGTCTTGATTATACATATGAAAACTATGCTTCGGTCAAGCATCTGATGTGTAGTCAGTTGCAGAGGTGATTGATTCTTGGCTAGTTATTCTCACCCTGTGCTCTACCATAGAAATTGTTTAAAGGTTAATAAAATATCCACTGATTCTCAAATAAGAGATAAAAAAATAAATAAATAAAATAAAAAAAAAGGTTAATAAAATAGTTTTACCTTGTTCAATCATAAAGGCGATATAGACTTTAGAAATTATGAAGCCCATTTTTCAGATGAAGAAACTGGTACTTAGGGAGACTAAACAGCTTAGCTTAGCTTAGTTTGTTCCTGATAGAACTATGACCAGAACTCGGCTGCCCATAAAATGCTTCTTAAATTATTTCAAAATTGTCAATAGCAATATAAGTTACCTAATTATAATATTTTAAAGTAGAAGTGGAACAGAGAGGGGACCCAAACACAAAAATTAATGAATTATTCCTGCTCACTGTCTTTTTTTTTTTTTTTTTAAGATTTCATCCATCATTTCAAAGATGCCTAAAGCAGATTTCTATGTTCTGGAAAAAACAGGACTTCCCATTCAGAACTCCTCTCTGTTTCCTATATTGTTACATTTTCATATCATGGAAGCCATGCTGTATGCCTTATTAAATAAAACTTTTGCTCAGGATGGGCAGCATCGGGTGCTGAGCATGAATCGAAATGCAGTGGGGAAGCACTTTGAACTGATGATTGGTGACTCCCGGACTAGTGGAAAAGAACTAGTGAAGCAGTTCCTCTCTGAGTCTGTACTGAAGGCAGATCCTCGGGTGGTCTTCCCAGCAGATAAAGTAGTCCACTACAGACAGATGTTTTCATCTACTGAACCACAAAGAATAGAAGAGTTATATGATTCATTATTACAAGCTATTGCCTTCTATGAATTAGCAGTTTTTGAACCTAAGCCTTAGAATTCTGAGGTTAATGTACAGTAAAACCAATATTTTGAACATCCACATTAATGGAGAAGAAAACATATTGAGTGTATTTTTAATATACTCAAAAGTTGTTTAAAAGTATGTCTTTCAGCTGTTGAATGGTTTACACAATAAGGACCCAATTCTAAAAACAAATACCATCTATACTAAGGATTTGCATTATTATCATGTTAAAATAAGGAATGATTTTTCTGTATGGTACTGATGAGAATAAAACTAAAGACAAGTGATAACACAACTTGTAGAATCCTCTTCTCTTATTCTCTAGGTAGAATGTGGTTTGCTACACTGCCTCAAAAAGGCAATTTTCATCAGCTCCAATCTATCAACCCCAAAACAAACAGATTTGTCTAATAGGCTGATTTTTTTAACTGAAATATTTTACTTGACAGACCATTGTTTGATAAAAGTAACACTTAATTTTTTCCCCATACCTCTCCATATTTTCATTATGTCTGCCTTAGTTCATGTCCTCACCATATCTCCTATACTGAACCCAAGTGTCTTTGATGTGAAAATATCAAATCTTTTCTTTAATCCAGAATTGAAATATGCTTATTGGAAAAAACTCAAATAATCAAAAGTATATAAAGGAAGAAGTGGAAGTCCTCCCTTCACTGGCACCTCCAACTCCCTAGAGTTGGTATACACTCTAGACTTCCTGCCATGCACATACACGTCTCTACATTTACACACACAGTTGTATACCTAAACATCTCCACCTTGGAAATGTCCATAATATCAAACTATGCATGCCTAAAAAGGAAATCATTCTCTTTCCCTCCAAACCACCTCCACTGGCATTGTTTTCTTCTTTGGTAAATAGCTTCCTCAACCACCCAGTTGTTCATACCAGAAACATGGCATTCTGCCTCCCATATATTTCTGGAAATAGCTGTAAGTTGAAAATGCGTCACTTTTAGACATTAATAGGATAAAATGGAAAGTACTGAAAAGTCATCAAAATTTAGTTACTTTTATCACAAAAGTGAATTTTAATCTTACAGGAATTTATCATGTTTTAAGAATGATAAAGATTCCCCCGCAAATTATATTAAATCTAAAAAAAAAAGATTACATATGTCCCTATTAAGGAGAAAAATATTCTCATTTTTAAATTTTTGATGACTTAAATATAATTGTATTGAGCTATTTTACTTTGGTTCATCAATTGTTGAGAATTATCAGAATTTTCTAATAATAAAATACCACATTAACAGCTAAGTGATCTACAGGAGAAACTCTGTAGAAAAAAAAATAGATCAGTATACTTCCTATAGGCTATAAGATATGGTCTGTATCCAAACCAACACAGTATACATACTTACCAAGATGATTACATCTGAACCCTTATTTAAATACTACGAAGCCTTTAGCTTTTAACCTTTAATTAGATCAATACAAGAAATCAACACAAAAAAGGGTAAGTTGAACAAATAAGAGGTAAAAACATATATTTTCATACACATTTGTAAACAGGTATGCATCTGTACTTTTCAAAACTATACAATATTAGGATCCTTTCGAGTTAAAAAAAATTCACCATATAATGTATGAACATTAAACCAACATAAAATACAAACACTGGAAATAGGGAGCTACTTTAAAACACACTTGATTATCTGATTGCAAAATTATTTTAAGTGAAATGTGACATTTTAAAAACTTGTTATTAAAAATACTTTTTTCCAGAAACATAACGATAAGTGGAAATGGTTATTTATGTAGAAATCCTACAGCAGAATCCTCTTTTGTTACAGTTTTAATGAATAGCAGTTTGTCCAAAATAGATATTAATGTTATTAATATCTTTATGAAATAAAACATCAGTGATATAAAAATATAAGAAAAATGTACAAGGTAAATGATTTGAGTTGGCAAAATATAAAAGATATCACATATATGGGTGCTAAAAAAGGTTTATGAAAAGTATAATTCATAATCTTGATTTTACTCTGTCAACATTCAATGATTCAATGGTAAAATATCCTGTTGGAGTATACTAGGAATAAATTTATCAGGGAGATCTTAACTTTTTGAAAAATGAAGCATAATTTTCTTCCTAGGAAGTTTCCTTATGTATTACTTATGTATTTTATATTTTGTATTATGTAAACTTTTTTAAAAAAGATTACCATTAGGTGATTCATACGACTTGACAAAGCACTGACACTTGGTTGGAAAAGGGTGGATTAAGGGTCACAGGAAAGGGAAAAATTATAGATTAATTTAGCATTGAAACATCTTTAGAAATATCTTAGTGAGCTCTTCCTTCCAGAAACAGCTCACTCACATACAAAAATTCTAAGAAAGCTAAGTTGGATAATACAAAAAATTCAGGAAAAAAGATACTACCACAATCATATATACAATTTGTAACTCAAATTTTTTTGTCTTAAATATGTGCACACTAATAAAAAATATACAAGTTGTCTGTTTTAAATGTACATTAAGAGAAATAAACTTTTCCATGAAAATCAACATAATACAAAAATGTATCTTAAGGACAATAATCTGTACAAAGCATCGTTGCAGAATATTAAGGGAAGTCAGCTGCCAAAGTATTCACAGTCTCTTTCGGGATGTCAAGATGAATTCCTTCAAAATAGTGTAGGAACCTGTCAAAATTACAAAGAAAAATACAACTTAATATATCCATCTAATGAAAATATTTATTAATCTTGAAATAGCCATCTAAAATGTTATTTTTATAGAGGCTTTACCTTCTTTTACTTTTTCCTTGTTCTTTTAGTTTCTCAGATCTACAAATGTTTCGAAGAGTTGGCAAGTATTCAATAATACTAGCTTGTCTATTACCCAGGTTCAGAAGAGATCGACTAGAAAATACACTTTTAATGACTGCTATCCTCTTCCAAGCATTACTGTAAATTAAAATTAATACATTACTTTTTATTTTTAACACCCAATAAAAATGCAAAAAATCTCAAACACAATCAGTTTCTTTGCCTCTGGTCTAGACTATAATGACACTATCAGATTAATTTCCTGTGAACACATCAATTACTCCCATACTGAAAAATCTTAATGGCTATCTGCTCTCTGTCACACAAGTCCAAATCTCATTCCCTGTCATTCAAGAGTTTCCTAAATCTAACCCATCCTAATCTCTCATTATCTCTCTTCCCAGCAAGCTGGTCTCCCCTTAACTGTCTGATTAGAAGCTACGTTATTAAGGGCTTACCATGATCGCAACATTTTTAAATTTCTAAGACAAATGATTTCTTGTTTATCATTTATTACTGAAAAAGTAAAGAGAAGTAATACTCACTCTAAATTAGCTGCTGTCTGATTAAAGTATACATTATTATTGCGCTTTTGTGAAACATAAAAAGTAAGCTCGTTGGTTGGATCCCCTCCTAATTTCTTGCAAGAACTCAAGGTTTCCAATGCTTTTGAAATAGTAGAAGAACATTTAGTAAAGCTGAGGGCTTCTGCAGCTGCCTTTAATTCTCCAGAACTTTGAGAAGTCAATCCATCATTACTCTCGAGACTAAACTCATCACAAAGTCCACTTTTAACCTTTCCATTTGTCCAACTAAAGTCATTTTTACCAAATTCCTTTTGTTCCTTTACACCAGTTAAAAGGGCATCTAAGAAGGACATGTTATCCATGAACTCAGTGAGAGAATTTAAACAATGAGCAACAAGGGCAGAACATTTTTTTTCTGCTGGTGTTTTAGGAGGATGACAAATAGATTCAATGTTAGACTCTAAACATTTGTTTAGTTTCTTTGTCTCTGGATTGTGTTCTTTGTCTCTGGCTTTGTTTTCTTCTGAATTTGAAGAAGACACAGGGGATAGGCTAACAAATTCATCAGGAAAGTCCAATTCAGTGTCAAATAAGTCGCTATCATCTAATACTACCATCTTTTTCTTTCTCTTCTTCTTTTTTGACTTTTTCAGTGGCTGCTCTCCAGAATGTTTCCTAGCAAGACATTTAATACTTTTTGTTGCTGCACCGGTATCCACAGTTATTGATGAGCCACAAAGGTTTTTTGTTTCTGGAATAATATCAACTGGCAATGGTAGAATAAGCTCAAGATTACTATATAAAAAATCTACATTCTGCATTTGGAATTCTGTAAGAAGCTGGATGAGTTTATGCCATTCTTCCTTTGTTGTGATTTTATGCTGAAAAACAATTTTGAGTAAATGTTACAACAGTACATAGTTTGAACATTTTTCTACCCATATGAATATAGTGATTTTTCCTATTCTGTCTTTAAATAATGAGTGACTACCCCTCAATGTTATTAACTAACACTTAATACATCAAAACAGTACTATGAGTCTAAAAATTACATTTGGACTGTGAACTTGGAGAATAAAATTCTCTAATATTTAGTATATACTACAATTACAATTAGAAGCCCATTTATTTAAAAACTTATTTGAAATTGTCTATCTGAAAAATTTTCTAAACTCTATTTTAAATCCTATAATATACATTTAGAGCAATGCCTAGGCACCATTTGTCAAAGTGATAGTATGTGTTAAATTCAGAGATCTAAAGCCCATTAAAGCTATAGGAAAATGGAAGTTCAATGTAAGATTCAAAAGACAGGAGTTAGTGTTGGGATTCAATATTCTAAAATAGACATTGAAAATACCTTTAAAAATGAAAATAAGTCTTCAGAAGGGGAAAAAATGTTCTTAAGGCCAAACAAGGTCTCAACACAGTGAGTGTCACACTTGGGAACATCTGCACGATTCTTTCTAGTATTTTTAGGGTTATTTTTGGAATCAGGGCCATCTTCAAAGGAAACTAGTTGCACATTTCTGCTATTTCCTCCTACAAAATTAACAAAAGAAAATTTTAGCTATATATATTTTAAATAAATTGTATCAAACAGTTATTTAAAGTCTGAGATCCTGTGACATCTTTTCGACCTATACTCCCATTTTGGTCTTCTCCACACATGTGTCTAATTCATCAAAAGTACAATATAAAGCATTATTTCTAACAACACATAAATTAAGTGAGGTGATGGTGGGGGGCTTTTGAAACAATCCAAAAGAAAAAGTGCAAGGACCGTGAATAAGCAAATCAGAGAAGAAAAAGAAATATCTAAACAATTCAAAGATCTAATAAAAAGATGTGCAATCTCACGTGTGAGCACGGAAATGCAAATTTAAACAGATACCATACTTGTTTCACCTCTTAAATTGGCAAAGTTAAAAGACTGATACTCTAGTTCTATCAGCAGTACACATAAA